GTCTGTGTGTGTGTGTGAGAGAGAGAGAGAGAGAGAGAGAGAGAGAGAGAGAGAGAGTGTGTGTGTGTGTGTGTGTGTGTGTGTGTCAACAGGAGCTTCTTGTTTTGAAACAGTGGAAAAAATGTGGACATCCCCTCCGTCCCACCTAGAGGGGCAGCCTCTTTTCACTCAACCATAGTTTTCTCTTGCCCGCCACCCACTGCACGTTGCCCATGAAGCATGGATTTTAGTGGATTTTTCCCTAGCGTGTTTTGCTGTGTAAAACATACTTTTCTCCTTTCCTTTGTTATTATGTTGAAAGCATTTGCCGTATTTCTTCATTCCGAGTGGATGCTCCTTCTTTTTTGCTTCCAAAGGCATCCTCTCACTGTTCTCCTTGCTTATCTTTCCATAGACATCATCCTTTGAAGTTGGAGATGCAGTCAAAGTCTCTCTGAGAGGATAACACAGATACAGAGTTGAAACCCAGCATTATGAGAATTAGCCTTTTGGGGGCCAGTAAAACAAACTTTGTTGAGATGGTTCAAGCAAGAACTATGTTATTTATTCCTGTAGATTTGGAACCCTGCGACTTAAGTCATAGACACATATGGGAACCAAGGCTACTTTGCCAGGATTTCCAGCTAAGGAAGTATAGAGCAGTTCACTTTCTTCATCCAAAGCAAAGCAATTCTGCAAGACTCAAGAAGGCCAGTCATTTACCCTTTTCCTTCCCACCTTGCCTCAAGAATTGGAAAGGTATATTTACCTGTATTTTGAAATGTCTATAAATAACGGAAGTTACTTAGAGGTGTGACATGAAGGAGAGAAATAAATAATGGCAGCAAAAAAGATCAAGCGCCTTCTCCCCTCAGCTACTTCTCCTCCCACAAGATATACTTACATTTTTTTAAAAAAATCAGTAATAAGGCATTAATGGCATGCATGTGCACATACAAGTGTGCTAGCTAGCTCTGGGAAGCATTCAGCCTGTACTTGGGCACCACCCTCTGGCCAAAAAAAAGGATGCTCCTTCTTCTTACCCATCTGTAGGCCTTTACCTAGACAGCTAGGCACTATTTTCCTTCTTTCTGTGTTCTTCCCTTCGGTGAATTCATCCCTGGGCCAAATAAGGTGGGGATGGCTCAGGAGATCTCACCTCTGCTGGTATGGGTGGGGATGTCTCTCCCAGTCTTGGTAGACGAATGCTTGCCAGTCATTCCGCAACATTTCCACCCCAACCCCACCCATGACCCTTATATCCAAACACAAGGTCCTTTTGGCTTGGCAGAGAAGCACATAGGAACATGGCAAAGCTCTCGTTCAAAGCTGGAAGAACACGTCGCTCTCAGTCTGCAGACCTACTTCATCTTCATCACCATGTGCCCTTGGCTCTATTCCGACTTATGGCAACCCTTTTCAGATAGAGCACTCAGACATTGTTTACGATTCCCTTCTTCCAAGGGTGCCCTGGGATCGCTGTGCAGCTTTTGCCCAAGGTTACCCAGGCTGGCTCTTCTCCCTGGAGGTGCCATGGGGGAACCGAACTCCCAAAGTCTGGCTCTATGGCCAGATATCTAAATCACAGAGCTATCCAGCCAGCTGCAGACCATGTTGAATGTTCTCTTTACATTCCATATGGGCTTTGCCACATTCCTCTGCACCTCTGTTCCCAAACCAAAAAGGCACCTTGCGTTTCAGTATAGAGCAGTGGCAGCCGAATAGCTGGCAAGCCTCTGTCTTAACAAGGTTTATTTTACTTCTAGTTGTTATGTTCCTTGCTTACTAGTTAGGTAAATGTTTTATTGGGTGTGTTGTATACTTGGTGTTATTGCGATTTGTTTGCTACCAAGAGTAGCAGCTCTGCCGCTAGTTTGGCAGAATAAATAAATAAAATAAGATTATTGACATTTGAAACCTACCACTCTGACCTGAGTCTGCAGGCTACATTTTGAAACCTGTTTTTAACCAAGGAGCCTGGCCTACACACATCAGACCACGATTTGGGAGAATTGCAGGTCTTTTCTTACATCATGTGAAAGAAGAGAAGGAAAGAATTGAAACAGATATTATCTGGAACAGCAGTTTTGTCACTCCCTCAGGTTGGTTTGCTTGCTTCACATCGGCTTGTAGAGTAGATTGTCTGCAGTGGTTGGAATAGCCCCATAAAAGCAAAGCTATAGAACTCACCTTCCTAAGATTTGTTCCTTATTAGCCTCCACTGAGACACCTTTCATCCCAGAGATTTCTAGAAATAAACACAAAACAGTTCTAAACAGCTTTGTAATCTAGGCCCCAAAGCATTAAGCCTTCCTAAAGCTGAAACAGTGAAATTGTGGCTTGTAGGATCATTGCTACTAACTCCCAATTTCATCTTCACAAAGCTGGTACTTCTAAAGGTAATTGCTAAAATACTGTACTATGAATGGCAAATTGAATATACAGTATATGCCTACTCAGAAATAAGTCCAGTTGAATTCAATGGGATTTACTTCTTGTTAGATGAGCACAGGATACTGTCAGCTTAGCATCCTAAGCCTGAAAAGTTACTTTGAACTTTTACTGCACTGTCAAAGCCCACTAAAGGAGTTAGCTACAGTAATAGCTGATATTTTTAAAAAGCAGCTCTCCATTGTCATGGTTCTCAAGACAACTAATACAGTTACATGGGATGAGGAGAATACCTTTTAACATTTGGGATTGGATTTTTGCGTATATGGAACATAGAAGCAATGTAGATAAATAAAGCTTGTAGAAATAGATAGGCTAATGTTGCCTGGAATTATTTCAACAATGAAAAGACTTAGACTTTGAAAACCGTTTCAAATTATTGTATATCAAAATCCCTCTGGTTATTTGGTTTCATTCTGCAACTAACTTTTTTTTCTGGGATAAAAGCCAGCTGTGTTGAACATAGGTTTCTGATTTTTGGCCTAGAGGTCTATACATTTCCATAGGGCTCTTGTGGGGAGATGTAAGCGGTGGTGAGCGCTGCAACGCAGGAGGCCTTCAAGAGAAAGTTAGACAACCTTCTGTCCAATCTGCTTTGGTTTGGATTCCTGCCTTGAGCAGGGGGTTGGACTTGATGACCTTAGAGGCCCTTTCTAGCTCCATTATTTTATGAGTCTATGAAAATTATGAATGATATGTAATTAGCTATTTGTAACCAGTTTATTCTCAAGTTCTGTGAGTATCAAAATGTATCATGGTCTTTATCACACAAAGTCTGGTATGTGCTGCTGCAGCTGAAGTGTCATCCAGAATAAATCAAATGATCTTCCTGGGTTTATCTTTCCCCCTCAAAAGAACCATGTGATTAAGTTTTAACACTATGCAGTAAGGCGAATTCAGATTATGCCTAGCCCAGCTGACGGCTGTAAATTTGCGGTTCTTATTTCTGCATCTTTCAGTTTGTTTCCCAAGAACCCTCACATTCTGTGGAATCAAGTGGAACATAAAATCAAATGAATAAATAAGTGAATGACACATTCTCTCAACATACCCATGCACTCCTGCAAAGGCTTCTGAAGCACACTGCGGAATATCTCGTCATACTGGGCATCAGTGAGGTAATTTTCTCTCTGCCAAGGGGTGAGCAAAGAGAGCATCGGTAATAACATCAAATCTTGCATGGCCAACATGATTCCCCACCTCTGCCAGCCTAGAGTGACGCAACATAGGCAGTGGGGCTACTTTTAAATTATCTTGGAAACGTATTCTCGAAGGCTTACACGGCCGGGATCTGATGGTTGTTGTGGGGTTTTTTGGGCTCTTTGTCCGTGTTCTGAAGGTTGTTCTTCCTGACGTTTCATACAGAGCATGGACAGAGTTCCTACTCCAGTCCTCTGAAGATGAGGAGTGGTGAAATGTCAGGAAGAACAACCTTCAGAACACAGTACTGTAAAAAAGCCCCAAAAACCCACAACAACTATATTGGAAACATCCGTTTGCCCAAAACGTTTTGGTATGAAACAAAAAGAAAACATGAGCCTGGGTTCTGTTCTGGAAACCTTGGTTCCCAGGGCCAATGTAAAGTGTCACACCGCCCTTCAAAGGGGATGTCATTATATTTGGGCTTTATAGTTATGGCCCAGATATGGAAACACGGCTTGTTAGCTGTTGCTGGTCTACAGCCCCCCCCCCCCAGCCATCTCAGCCAACAGAAGGAAAGATGAGGGACACTTGCAGCCTTTCGACATCTGGAGGAAGGCACATTTCCCACTGCTGTCACAATGTCTTGGGCCTTGGTTGTTCCCAATGCTTCTTTTTTAGAATTGTTTGTTTTTCTTTGGTTTTTTAACCTTGTATTTTCACCTCCCAATGCATTAGTGCCTAGTTTGTAAGCTGCTCTGAATAGTCGCTGGTGAAACAGCATAAGAGGTGAGCATTTTCATTCATCTTTAATCTTAGCGCTCCTTCAGTTCCATAGACATGAAGCTAAAAACAGACATGGGTGTAATGGGGCTTTCTCCATGCAAGATCATCTGATGATCCTCAGAGATGGCCAGCCTGCCTCCTATAGGAAGTGTGTTTCATGGGCCATCCAGTTGTACACAAGCTATTTCAGGCATGGTTTTAAACCAGTGGGTTTTCATAGGCTAGTGGGAGGAGCTCTCTCTAATTGCTTCCCCTCATGCCACGCATTCACAGATTAAAGTTATTCCCATGCATTCCTTCACATCTGTGGGCTGCCTTTCTCTTTCTCGATTGGAAATCCAGACCTGCTGCAGAGGCTCGTACTAAAATACTGCTTGCCTTAAGGGTCTGGGAAGATGGTGATGTCTTTTCTTTCTTTCTTTCTTTTATCCCAAAAGGAAACAAAACTGACTTTTGAGTAAGAAAAAGGACCCAAGCCCTTACGAGCCCCTGATACTTCCACATAAGTCTGCCACTCGTTTAGCCACAGCCACGTTCTGCACCGATGGAGCATGAGAAGCGGTCGTCTCCAGCCTGTGGTCCACAGGTCAGCCTGGCCAGCTCTGACGGGCAGCCGGGCCCACCCTCCAGGGTGGATCATCAGATGGGATCCTTTCCGCCGTGTGCCTGGTGAGCCCTGGTGTACTCCCACCCAGGTCTCCAGGTCTCTGCTAACTTGCATTAGACCTCGCTTGGCTTCCCAAACGAAGCAAAAACAAGTGTGCTCACAGGACGTGGGGTGGCGGTGGAGTCTTTGGGTGACAGTGGAGCAAGGAGCCATGTTTTTGAAAGGTGATGCCTCGTAGGCTGTCACCTGTTCTGGGTCTTCAAGGAGAAGATGGCCTTAAACCTCCCCAGCATTATCTGTTCCAAGCTCTTTCTTAGAAGGAGCAGAATATTTTATTTTTATTTATTTATTAGATTTCTGCCCCGCCCCTCTAGACAATGTCTACTCGACATTTCCACTTACTTCCTTGCCCATGACTCCATCTTTCCTGCACTTTAGGGGTGTTGCTGTGCTAGACGTGTTCATTTCCTGTTTCTGATTTGATTTTTTGGGGGGGATTTTTATGGGTTTTGTCGCAACACCATCTTCTTGTCTGCTCTGAGGTGCCTCCAGTTTTCCTTTTGCAAACGGAGCATGGTTGGGTTTAGCTACTGGAGGGGCAAACGTCCTTTGGGGCATTTTCTTGAGATCTGAAACCACAGAAAATATTGCTTATACCCTAGTAAATTATAACATTTGTTTGTTTCCATTTATATACCCCGCTGGGCAATTTAATATATGCATTAAAAACCTCTGTCATGGGGATTCAATCTTACGACTGCAGGTCTTCTGACCTTGCAGCACAGAGGCTTCTGCGGTTTAACCCACAGTGCCATCACATCCCTTATTAAAAACCTAACAAACACTATATAATAAATACAAAAAAATGCAATTAAATACAATCAAACCTTGTCACTAGCGGAAACCGCTTTTAAATAAAAACACAGAAATTAAAACCTATTTAAATATCTCATGACAAAATTCCGCTAGTAGAGGCCACTTTGTCTAATTGGCCTTAATTATCTTCCTAAAAAAATTATAATAATAAAAAGAGGTGGGGAGGGAGAGTGCCTGGCCAAAATCTGTAGGAAGCTTGTTCCCAAGGAAAGGGGTCACAACCGAGAAAAGCCCAGTTCCTTGTGTTGGCTTTTTGGGGCTTCTTACGTGTTATAATGTTTAACATCAAGGATTGCAATATTTGGGACCGGTAGCTTTTTGTGGGACATGCTAATGCAGCAACATTATATCCTAGGAAGGATTGGTTTTTGTTTCTTGCCAGGCAGAACTCCTGAAAATTACTTTTTGAAGTGGTGGTGGTGGTGCTTACTACTACTACTACTACTACTACCCTATTTCCCCAAAAATAAGACCTAACCTGAAAATATGCCCTAGTACGATTTTTCAGGATACTCGTAATATAAGCCCTACCCCAAAAATAAGCCCCAGTGAAGTGAAGCCCTCGTCCTCCACCCTTGTGCAGCAACCAGAAGAAGATGACATGACTGCATTTGAATAAATGTAGATTGTTGCACATTAAAAAGAAAACATCCCCTGCAAATGAGCCCTAATGCGTTTTGTGGAGCAAAAATTAATGTAAGACCCTGTCTTATTTTTGGGGAAACAAGTTGTTGATGATGATGATGATAGCTCCCAGAATCCTTTGCCAGCCATTCAGGCAGGAAACGCTGAGAATTGTAGTCCAAAATTACCTCTTTCAAGTTCCAGTTTTAAGCACCAAGTGGAACTTATTTTTTGTTTCTGCCAATATGTGCGTTTATTGGCATTTAAAAATTGCTAACCTATCATTCCCCCTATGGCTACCTTGTGCGCCAACATTTCTCCTACTGTAGTAGCTTGATGTGGTTTCGACAATTTTATTTGTCTGTATGGAATGTTTATTTGTCCATAAAACAACCTGAGAGCTTTTTAGTAGGAATGTGGGAGAACACGCAAAATTAAAGAGGAAAATACACGAGGCAACTGGGAGCCGTGTGAAGGATGTCCTCAGTTTCTCCATAAAACTAAATGGACCCCAAATATACTACGTAATTTCAGCTAGACTTTGCTCACCAAGAAATCACTTTCTGAGGTGTGTCAAGCATTACTGTATTTTTGCTCATTTTGTGTTCTCCTCAGAGCCAAATGCTGACATATTTTTTCCTGCATGGCACCCAGAAACATTAAGATTTTCCTTAGACCAGATGATATGCACACTATATGTATGTCTTATATATTAAATATATAAATAAACACATAATATTCTCTCTTGGATGGCTCCTGACAACCAAAGAGTATTTTTTTTGTTATCAAACTATAAGTGTATCCATTCAAGGAGTTTAATTTTAAGAGAGAAATGTGAATGATGGGTTCAACGGTTGGGTTTTTCTGTTTGTTTTTTTTAATGAATTCCCCTCATAATTACATTAAGCACTTTGGGGAGGCAGCTGAATTCAAGATTGGCCATGAGGACGATCATTTTCCTGCTCTTTTGGGACCTATGAGGCAGTCCTGAGGTAAAGCGAACCTGCTTTCGGTGTGCTTCTTGCTGATTTTCTCACCCATATATGTACATATTTTATTTTAAGTTTACCCACATGCTGAGAGAGAATATATAGCAAGGTGCTGAGGTGCGCTTATTGGGTTACTGTAAAAAAGATCCCTCGCCTTTTTCTCACAACGCTTTTTAAGAGAAAGGGAAAGTGAGCTTTTTCGACTTCACGGTTACGGGCGTCGTTTCTTTATTAATGAATGAATCAATCAATCAATAATATTCAACCCCTCCCTCGTCCTAGAGAAGCTTGACTGAGGTAAAGCGCGCGCTTTTCTGGGGTGGGCGGGGCGACGTTTTGTGGCCGTTTTTTTTTACTCCTCTGTCTCGCCCCTCCCCCACCCCGCGAAGGTTGGCGCCAAATCGTCCCCTCCGCCGCCAGCTGGACTGCGCACGCGCCGTCAGCCCATCCGGGATCTTTCCCCCCCTTTCCACAAATAAATACTGTATATAGACACACCCCTCGCGCGACGTTCAGGGAACGCTGACCGCCGCGCATGCTCAGAAGGGTCGGGTCTAGCCAGGCCATCCAGCGGAAGTCAAGGGAGAGGCGGTCGCGGAAGGAAGCCGCGTGCAAATGCTTGGTTCCTCCGCTGCCTGTTTCTATCGTTTGTAGTGCTCTGTCTTTCTTGGGTGCTGCGGGTGCATAGGCTCACCCATCAGGCGGCTGCAAGCTTCCTTACGAGTAAGCCCCCTTGAGGCTTCCACTTGAGCAACGTGCATGCACTCCCAGCAGGTTCCGGAAAAGTGACCCTTTTTTGCACCATAACTCTTAGAATCCAGCTTAGATCCATGGTGAATGATGGGTTCCAGAGATCCTGACCCCCCCTCCCAAAAAAGTAACTTTTCCAAGTCAGTTAAGAGGATGAAAGGAGGCATAAACAGCCTTGCCCTACCTTCCACCTCGCCTGGCAAAAGAGTTTTATTCCTTTTTTAAAAAAATTCTAGCGTATCTTTCTCCCTGTCAGGACCCAAGGCAGATTACAACATGAATCTGAAAAGCAGATACCGTTTTTTAAAAAGCCCAAACAACCCCCCCCAGTACTATTCGATAAATGATTATCACATGAAGACAGGTATAGAATTAACATGACTTCAGAGGGCTACCAACTTCTTAAAACTAAGTGCTGTTTCTTCAGCCTGGGTTTGATGGCAGCATATTTCAGGATTAGTTTAAGAACCATTATTTGCACTGAGGCTAACAAAAAAAGAACACTTTTATTTGCATTATTTATATCTTGTTCTTATTAATTTCTAGTGTCAACAAAAGTTACAAAGTACAGGCATTAAAAGCGTTTAAAGGGGGCAGTAGCATTTTATTTAAAGAACTAATGGAACAGCTTAAAAAGAGCCTAAATCAAGGATTAAAGGCTTGAAAGTAAAGAAAAAGTTGCAAACAATAACAAGAGGGAGCAGAAAAAGGGGCAATGACCTCAAGCCAGTGAGGCGGGGGCACAGAATCAGCACTAGTCTGGTTAAGTTAGACATCAGTTACGAGGATACACAAGTATCCCAGTACACTTACACCAGACCAGTCCAGTCTGACATGGTATGACACAGTGCTCTGCTGGCACAAGGTGGGCAAAGGATCGCTTTGGTGGTGAGTGATCTTGTGTTTTGCTTTAGCTTTGCCCATCTCTTCGTAGCGCAAGAGGGGAGACTCTTTCAGCCAGAGGCCAGACTGAGTTTGAGAAATCTTATCTGGGACTGCTTTCCGCCGGGGAAGGGGGTTAAAGGCAAAAGGCTAGGCTCAGAGATACCAGCATACTTTAATCTTCATAAGCCTTCTTATCACCTGTGATTAAGCCTTAAGAGGTGCGTTTCTACCTTTTAGGAGGGGGAAAAATCTGTGCAACCCCATTTATAATAGGGTCAACCTACAGCCAACTTGGGAGTTCAAGGCCATATTGAGTGCCAGAGCCCAAGGTTCCCCATCGCTGCTGTGCCGCCTCCCCCCCAGCCAGTGTTTCTGCATCCTAAAACAGATTAAAAAAAAAAAGACAGCAAAAATGCTGCCCCCCCCAGCCAGTGTTTCTGCATCCTAAGACAGATTTTTTTTAAAAAGACAGCAAAAATGCTATTATCTATTAACTGCTGAAGATTCCTCTGGGGTCAGAAAGCATATCTGCAAAGACAAGTTGAAAAGCTGTCCGCTCTATTTGTTGGAAATTTGGAATAGGATATTCCTGTTAGTCTGTTGCAGGAAAACGGATCAAGATGTGTTGCAACTGATGAAGCTGGGTTGATCAAAGGGAACGCTGTGTGTGTCGTGTTTCAGAAACCTTCATGAAGATCACCCGTGATAGTCTTCTACAGTAGCAGTTTCAAAAGAAGTACTGTAGCTGTGTTAGTCTGTGCTAGCTTATTCGGCAAAAATAAAAGAAAAATTAAAAGAAGACCAAAACGTTGTGGCACCTTAAAAGACCAACTGCTGTCTGAGGGAGGAAGTGGACTTGACTCATGAAAGCTCCTATTCAAAAGCAGCAGTTAATCTTGAAAGGTGCCACAACATTTTGTCTTCTTTATTTTTTATTTGTCTTTTGTTTTTGACTGACAATACTGTACGCTTGTGGGCAAGCCGATCGAGACTAAGGAGCTGGGTGCGTTTGTACACAAAGAATACTCACCAATGGCTCCTCGTCACAGAGAAGCTAACAAGCAGGGTGCAGCAGAATTGTCTCGTAGAGCCTTAAACATCTCTATGGACCTCAGTGAAGGAGGAGAAGGGGTACTAGTGGGCCTTTTAGAATTAGACCTCCTTCCCCCCCCCCTCTTTTTCTCTCTTCCCTACTTTCTTTTCTTGTTCTCTCCAGATCTTTTGTTTCATGACAAGCCATCTGTAGGTGGCAGCAACAGGTCCTTGGCCTTGATGCACGGTGAAAAATGCAGAGGAAGAAGTACTGTACATACTGTAGGTAGAAGGACAGGGAATATTTCTCAAATTAATAGATGACACCAAACCTGGAGGGAAAGGCAGGGTCAAAAATGAGTGTTCTTCTACTAGGCAAGCTAAGGTCTCCCCCAGAGTACAGGAGGAGGGCAGCCAGGAGATTTAAAACAAACTCAGGGACAGACTTCGAAGCAGACGCCATGGAGAACATGTCTTGCAGACCGGTGTGTGTGTGTGTGTGCGTGGGCGCCGTGTGGGGAAGGTTTAGGCAGCCTCTGCAGGAAAAGGGACAGGCCGCTGGAAATGATGGGCAAGTGTTCCCACCGGAGCCCTTGAAAGACGCTGCCAGTCGCCAGGACAGCCTTCCCGAGGAGGTGCATTCCAGAGGTGCAGAACTACAACTCCCATGGTCCCCTCCCCCGAACCAGCCAGCGACATCTGCGGGACACCAGCTTAGGAGAGGGTGGGAGGCACAACCCTGGACGGGAGGGCCAAGTGACAACGTTAGAGCCTGGGAACTGAAAATCCACGGGTGGGCCATGCCCAGGCGTCGGAGGGCCGGCCCCCGTTCTCCCGGACGGTGCAAGGGGGCCCGTTCCTCGGGGGCGGAGGTGGGGTTAAATAAAAATGAAAATGAAAAAGCTCGGCCAGGGGAGGCGGGCCACGAGGTCAGCTGCGAAGGCTGGTTCCCAAAATGGAGATTTCCGTCCCAATGAGTCACTGCATTGCCCGGGGAATCTTCCTGCGCTGGGATCAGGAGGCCGAAGGGAACCTCCTGGGCCCGAAAGGAAAGCGCAGTGCAAAGGCCGGGGGAGAGGGAGGGGGCCTCCGGAGGACCGGTCTTCCGCACGCGCCTACACCCCCCCTCCCCGAAGGGCTAAAGTGGCCCCAAGTTTTTGCACGCTCCACATTCAGAGAATGGCACCGCCAGCAACCTGCACGAGAGTGTTTACACCCCTCGCACGCATGCGCGGACAGAGGAAAGGCGAGAAGCATTGTTCTGCGCGTGCGCGCAGCCCGGGCCCGCCGCTCTCGGAAACTACAGCCCCCAGGGTGCTTTCCGCACTCCGTCTTAGGGGAGTGAAGCCATGTGATCCTGGACAAATGTCCATATTGGGAGCTTTCTTAAAAATAATAATTTTTTCCTTCTTTTCGTAACACAAAAGGAGCAATGTTGTCATTCGCCAGCGTCGTTCTACCCAAAGTACCGTCTAAAAATAGTTCTGTCCAATACTTTTGAGGCCTGCCGGATATCTGGACCACCAAGACCCGGGATGTTCACTTAGGAGGCTAAAGCACTGCCTGGGAAAAACACTGCTGCTTGGTTGGGACAACCAAGGTTTTGGAATGAGGGCTTTTAACTGAAGGTTTCTGTCAGGGGAAAAATATATCTGCTCGGCTTTTTAGCCCTGATTCAGGCGCTTGATTTAGACTGCCCTGGATAGAAAAGGACCTCCACTTTCTCGGAGGCGAGTGTTGAGCTCTGATTGGACACATGCATTGCCAAACGTCCTTCTATTGGCTGATATAGAAAGAAGAAGGCGGGACAAACCCGAGGGGAGGTTGCTTCTAGAGTACTTTGTGGGGAAGACTCTGATTCGCTCTAGATTCACGCGGGTGGAGAGAACGCTGAGCCGTGATTGGTCCCCGCGGCGAGGGGAAGGCGTGTCAAACAATGACCCCACCCTCCGCATATATAACTCCCGGACACAGGGGGAGCGTGCCATCTCGGGAAAGCGGGAGGCGCGAAGCGCTCTTCCTCCGGCGAGGGCTCAGGCCGCGCATGCGCTGGGAGCCAGGAGGAGCCGCAGCAGCCTCGTTGGAAGGTTGGCGAGCGAATGGCTCTGCGCGTGCGCGCCGGGACTTGACGGGCGGTCCGCACGGAGGCTGCGCGCGACGAGGCGGCGGGGCCTGCGCAGAAGCGAGGGGCCCGACGGCGCACGCGTCGGAGGGGCTTGCGAGGGGCGGAGAAAAAGAGCCCGAGACCAAGCGAAGCCGAGCAGCGGCACTAAGAGAGCAGCGGCGGCCGGACCCGCGCGAGGGATGATCGAGATGGCCACGGACAAGGAGGCCTTCCGTGTCCCGGCGCCGCCGCCGCCCCTCCTGAAGCCTCCGCCCCGAACGGGCAGCGGTGGGAGCGGCGGCGTCAAATATTCTTGTTCTCTTAGTCGTTCTAATAAATCTATGTTTTAAACAATTAACTGCATCTTTCTGAGATCCATTACAAACGTCTGCAGAACTTAAAAACTGACTCTCTCCACATGTGTAGGATTTACGGTTGTGGGATGCAGGGTGTAAGATACAATGTAAGAGGGGAAAGAAATGCAGAAAGGACTGACAGTGATCATTACATC